TGTGTCATTTGATCTTGGATGTAGTAAGCGAGGTACGAAGAACGGACCCCAGGACAGGGATGGATCTGAATTCTGGGGTTCAGAGGTTTGGAGAAACTTTCTCTCTTTCATCACAGCTGAGCTGTCCTTTCAGGAACATCATCTGTAAGCTCATCGCAGGGATCAAGCAGGACTCTCCATCTTCACCAGCAGCTCCCTCAGAGGGAAATCTTTATAGCTCCACCCCAGAAGATGAACAACCCCCTGGACTTCATGATTGTGACCTTTGCTTTGTGCAATGTTAGAACCTCAGAGGCTCTGGACTTTTACACAATGATGTTTTATTCAGTCCTGTATCATGTTATATATTTCAATTTGAAATGATCCTCTCTGGTTAGTCTTGTATGAATGGGTCTTAATTACTTCATGGCTGCTAACACAACATTAGCAATGTTAACACAGTGTTAAATAATTCCAGATTAAAGTTTTTGTTTCAGCATACAAATGAAGACTTTTTATCGGTTACTTTTTTTTGTTAATGTTGTCTCATGCCCTCTTCATGCAGCTTCATGCAGCTGACTACATTGAGTGTTAAAAACAGTCTGAGATCAGCAGCTTTCTTAAACAGCAAACTATTTATGCTCCTGAGTGTAAAGAATTTAACTGTTTGGCACCTTTGCTGCAAAAGAACAATTCCAAATAAGAAACCAAATTTACATCATCATTCCTCAGTTGTGAAAGAGACATCCCAACCAGCCACGGCAGATGGCTGAAGCCCTCCCTGAGCCTGGTTCTGTCTGAGGTTTCTTCCTGTTAAGAGTTTTTCCTTCCCACTGTCGCCAAGTGCTTGCTCACAGGGGATTCTCTAATTTTCGGGGTTTTCTCTTATAACTTGAGGCAATGGTTTCTTTGATTTAGAACCTTTAAACCATATAAATATTCCTTTTAATCTGCAGCAGTGATTATTCATATTTTTGCATAAACAAATTGGGGTTCCAATTAACTAAATGACACAAAACTGATATTTCAATTACTAGAGTGATATTGTTAAAACATGTAATCAATACATAAAAGTAAGGAATTTTTCCATCTCATGTCTCAGCATGAACCTATTTGAGCTTGTTAGCTGAGAGAGTTACAAAAAAGCAATCCTGGGAAGAAGGTTTTACTGACAACTTTAAGAGGGAGCTATAGTATCTTACAAAGTAGCTTTGTGAGTGCTTACATTGTAATGAATTGTTATTAAAAAGTCCACTAAGCCCACATCACCGCTTCTATGTTGACATGAAGAAATATAATGCAAATTGGCATCGAAGTTACTTTTTTTGTTAGGGAAGATTTGTTTGTTGTTGAGTGCAATGTTAAAATAAATTCTTTAAAAATAAAAAAATGCAAGAACATGTTACTTTTTCTCCAAAACTCACAAACCAATCCCTCTGGGGTAATTGCATTGATAAACCCTTTTGCAAGAATATCAGATTACTCAATTAACTGGTTAAAATCTACAGTCCTTCCGATTAATTGCT